ATTATTCTCCTTATCAAAATGTCTTAGAAGAGATGTTAGACCTGTTTAAAATTTTTTCTGACAGTCTTYTTTTCTTCTTCAACAAGGGAAGTTCCAGCATCCTCCTGGTACAGGAGAAATGCAATTGATTAAGGAAGTTGTTATTTTGTCTGCTAATCAAAGCTKGGATTCCTGCTGCCTATTTTGGATAAGCAGCCCTCTTCACTGCTTTTAAGCTACTCAGGACCACAATCTAAGTGCCAGAGAGTATATATCTGRAAAAGAATCTCAACTTGACAAGCCTCTAGAGTCAAAAGAGAATCAATATGATATATGTATCTCAATTTTTCTAATCAACTAAGCAAATACAGCCATGTTAATTTAAACATTTACTCTTCAATAAGGTTTAAATAACCATTAGATATTGTAGTAGGTTTCAACTTCATGAAGAGCTAAGCCCAGAAAGAATGAAGAATACTACTCTGATTCAGTTTCTTCAAACAAACAAATAATTCTATCATGAAATAAATTTATATCTACTTTCCTAAACTATGAATTTTAGAAGTATTGARGAAAAATTTATTTCTTACAGAAGAAGAACCAAAATGCCTTTTAAGTTTCATACAGGAATTTAAGCTTCTCCCTGAAAATATGGCAGGATTGACAGCCCAATTGAAGTGCATCTAGACCAATGCACACAGCTGGGAGAAGTCTCACTATCATCAGCTTTTGCTCTTGGGAAGGACTTCAACTTAGCAGATGTTTGCTGGAAATACAACACAGCACAGGAAGCAGTGTGGGAAGTTCTTGGAATGTGTGGATGGAGYGTCYTGACACAGCTGGTGAGGRAGCCAATAGGGAAGGTATCCCACTGGTCCTACGGTTTGCCAGCAGGGAAGGACCAGTGGGTGATGCTGGAAGCTGTCATGGGCATCACAATCACAAAATGATAGTTTTTGATTCTTGGAGAAGTAAGGAGGGAATGTCAGCAGAACTGCCACCTTGGAGCTCTGAAGKGCAGACTCTGGCCTGATTAGGAGACTGGTTGATGGAGTCCCTTGGGAGGCAGTCCTGAGGGGTAAAGGAGTCCAGGAAGGCTGGATGTGCTTTAGAAAGGAAATCCTAAAGGCTCAGGAGCAGGCCTACATGCTGAAAGATGAACCAGTGAAGAAGACCAAGCTGGCTGAACAGAGAGCTTTGGTTGCAACTCAATAGGGGAAGGAAAGAGCGTRTCATCTTTGGAAGAAGGGGCAGACAACTTGGAAGAAATACAAGGATGTCATGAGGTTATACAGGGAGAAAATTAGAAGGACCAAAGCCTACCTAGAAGCTTATTTGGCTACTGCCATAAAAGACAACAAGGAATGTTTTTCAAAATGCATTAGCAACAAAAGGCTAAGGAGAATCTCCACCTTTTACTGGATGCAGAARGAAACAGTGAAAAAGGATGAGAAAAAGACAGAGGTACCTAAGGKTTTTTTTGCCTTAGTCTTTGATAACAAGTCCAGTTGTTCTCAGGGTACCCAGCCCCCAGAGACAGAAGTCAGAGATGGGAACAGAATGAAACCCCCATAAGCTAGGAAGAATGGGTTAGAGACTTACGTAAATCCATGGGACCTAATGGCATCCACCCRTGGGTACTGAGAAAGCTGATGAAAAAGCTTGCCAAGTCGCTTTCCATCATTTACAAGCAGTCCTGCTTARGCAGGGAGATCCCAGTTGACTGGMAGTTAGCAAATGTTACACCCGCCTACATGAATGGTTGAAAGGAGTGTCCAGGGAGCCACAGGCCTGTCAGCCTGACCTCTGGAATGGGGAAGGGCATGGAGCATATCATTCTGAGCGCCATCACACAATACACACAGAATAACCATGGGATCAGCCCCCACCATCAGGGGTTTCTGAATGACAGGTCCTGCTTGACCAACCTGATCTTTTATGTCGGTGTGACCTGCTCAGGGGATAARGGGAAGGCTTTTGATGTTGTCTACCTGAACTTCAATAAACCTTTGACACTGCTTTTTACAGCATGCTCCTGTACAAAGTGTCTTCCCATGATCTGAATGGGTGTATTGTTTGCTGGGCAAAATCTGGCTGGATGGCGGGGCCCAGAGAGTGGTGGTGACTGGAGTTACATTCAGCTGGTGGCCGGTCACCAGTGATGATCCCCAKGGCTCAGTATTGGGGYCAGTCCTGTTTAAAGTATTTATCAATTACCTGAATGAGGGGATCAAGTGCATCCTCAGCAAGTATGCAGGCAACACCAAGCTGGGTAGGAGTGTTGATCTGCCAGAGGATAGGAAGGCTCTGCAGAGGGATCTGGACAGGCTGGATYGATGTACTGAGGCCAACTGTCTGCTGGTGTCAACAAGACCCAGTGCTAGGTCTAGCCCCTGAGTCACAACAGCCCTGTGCARTGCTACAGGCTGGGGGAAGAGTGGCTGGAAAGCTGCCCAGGGAAAAGGASCTAGGAAGGCAGGTCAACAGCAGCTGGGCCAGCAGTGCCCAGGTAGACAAGAAGGCTAATGGCATCCTGGCCAGCAATAGCGTGGCCAASAGGACCAGGGCAGTGATTGTCCCCCTGTACTTGGCACTGGTGAGGCCACTCCTTGAGTGCTGTGTCCAGTTTTGGGCCCCTCAATACAAGAAGGACACTGAGGTGCTGGAGAGAATCCAAAGAAGGCCAATAGAGGTGGTGAAGGGTCTGGAGCACAAGTCTTTTGGAAAAACTTGAATTAGCTGGGGTTGTTTAGCCTGGACAAAAGGAGGCTGAGGRGAGATCTTTTAATCTTTATAACTACATAAAGGTGGTTGTATTGAGGTAGGGGGTCAGTCTTTTCTCCCAAGTAACAGGATCAGGCAAAATGGCCTCAAGTAACACCAGAAGTTTAGATTGGATATTGGGAAGAATTCCTTCACTGAAATGATCATCAAGCATTGGAACAGGCTGCCCAGAGAAGTGTTAAAATCACCACCCCTGGAGGTTCTTCAAAAATGTGTAGATGTGGTGCTTAGAGACAGGTTTAGTGACAGACTTGGCAGTGCTAGGTTGATGGATGGATTCYGTGACCTTAAGAGTCTTTTCCAACCTACAGTCTTCTAATGTCATCTCTGTGCCAAAGAGTCCCACTTTGGAGGGGGCTGATACCTGCAGAAATTTTACTTGAACACAGACATGTTTGAGCATGCTAAATGTGTATATGACAGTCAATAAGGAGGCAGGATTGATTCCTTATCTCAAAGCAAAGCTGACTCCTCCTCAATTTTCTTCTCTGTACCAGACCAGAAGCAGAATGCCATCAGTTTTATTCTGATATATCTGTCAAGTTAATCATGGTAAGAGGTGTTTCATAGAGGGATGTACACAAACAATTTTATATACTTTGTCAGATGTTTCCATGTTTTGTTAGATGTTCAAGAAAAGACTCCATCCTCTTTCATTTGGACAGCTTTCTTATTCACATTTAGGCACATAATTGAWCTTTATTTTGCTTTAAAGATGAGAAACTATGGATCTTGCACCAAATTGAAGTGACTTATTTTCATCAACCAGAAACCTGGTGATTATTTTGCTATTAAAATAATCTGATTATTTTGTTATTTGAGTAATCCAAACATACTGATTCAGGACCTGTGTTTTACAATTGGAGAATCCCATCAGTTTGAAAAACTAGGCCACTATTCTCTCCTTCCAACCTTCTGTATGGTCCTAATGGACAGCAAAGGAGCAGGAAGGGCAAAGTACAGMGTAGGAGTCATTTCCAAAAGAAGCTCAGTGCTTTGCAACCCACACAATGCCTGGAGACAAATGTCCTCAAACCAGAACTTCTGAACACAGAGGTCAATCACCAATTCTCTAAAAAATCTTGAAATGAAGGTGTTCCTGGATTTATTAAACCAACTTTAGATCTTTCTATCCTGATGAGTAACATATGGAGAGACAGGATATCCTGCACTTCAAAGAAAAAAATTGTTTTCTTTCGGATCTAGAAATAACTAAATCCTTCCCAATATATTTATGAAAACCATAGCAAATGTCTGTTAATAGTAGAAAACAACTCTTTCCTCAAGAAAATATAAGAACTCCACTCTTCCTGGTTATCCACAGACCAAAGCACAACTTAAATATTTCTCCTATAGTAGATGGGATTCACTGGAAGAGCAAAAAATCACCACACTTTGATTGAGGTGATACTGACAGTGCTACTTATCAGAGCAGTTCCAGGTCAATTGTCCTTAGAAGTGAACTGAAACTCTAGAGGTGCACAGTACAAACAGTCTGATATATTCTTTTGTACTCCTCTGACCACAGAGTAAATCATTCCAACTTCCTAAACCAGATAGAACTAGATCACAGAAGAGCTTTTTACTGGGTTGTCAAGCTCACTCTGCCTATAACGCAAGCTACCATGAGAACCAAACATAACCAAAGAACACAGCACTAAACTCTCAGCTAGAAACTGAAGAGGAAAGAAAGGGGCAATTGTCTCAGCTGTCACATGAAACTACACCCTTACTGGACTTCTAGCACTAAGAAAATTGCACCAAAAGATCCTCACATCTGACTCCATGCATTTTCATACTGGACTAAGTTTCCKTCTTGTTGCACATAATCAAATTTGTCTTAGCCCAGAAAGAGTTGTTCCATTATTGAAGATAATACTTACCTTCAGGGTTTCATGTACGACAGAATACTGCAGATTTGTTCTGGTCAAGAAATTACTATGCTATGAAGACATGCATTTCTACTTTACAGTTATGTTTCTAGAATTGTTAAATTACAGTTGGAGTTAAAGACATCTATTGACTCAGTACTCATAGTTCTGAACTGTTAACACTCCCAACCCCCTTTGGCAGTACAAAGGAAGGAAACTGCAGAGTTTAAGGTTCAGGGAGCACTGCTCACTGCAGTGGAAAATGACTGCTTTCATCACTGAATGTAAAAACAACTTCTCTCTAAACCTTTGAAAGGTTTTGCTCCAATATGCAACTGAGGGATACAAACTTTAGTTTGTTCATACCTGCAGCTATGGACCTGCCTCCAGTTGTTCCAGTCTTCACTCTAAAAGACAAGGAAAAACAGACATTGAGGACTCCAGAGTTAACATGAGATAACAACAATCATTACATGAACTCTACCCGGTAAAGAACTGAGGATTGTGAAAGTGAAGCGTATTTCTAATATAAGAAGTCATCACGAGGTGGTAACAACTCTCATTAGACTCAAAACTGAAGCTGCATATTTCAAAATTCCAGAGTAAATGAATGGGTGCACAGATATGGACTGCAAGCACMACATGGCTGAAAACAGTAATCTTAGGGCTTCCTAGCAACGTTTAGTGCACTTATGCCACCTGTCTAACTTTTTGGCTGTCACAGCAGAAGCAGCTACCAACAGCAGTACCCACAATCCTAAACTCCTATATGACATTATTTTGACAGCTGCAGCACTAATAGATGACCATGAAGCTGCAGATGGGAACTCTAATGCATGATTGTATAGATGGCAATGTACAAAACTGCTGAATTAGGGAATAAAGATTTAACAACACAAGGAAAAAATGCTATTTCTACATCTTAAGCAAATCATCAACCAAGAACCATACAGATTTTCTGTTACTAGCATCTCATAAATAGGGGATGCTACTTCATGATTCACAATTCTCTTTTTGCAAACTCAGTAACTGACTCTCAACACAAGCTAGTGTTTATTTAAGTACAAACTTGGGTTTTTTTTATTTGTGGGGTCTCTTGGGTTTTTTTTTCTTCGAGCCCCCATGTGTGCAGAACCACATTCATGTCAAATCTACCATTTACTTGTCTATAGTTACCAACGTAAAAACTGCATCYATCTGCAAGGACAAGAATTATGCAAGGCTATCTGAGCTCCCACATTTTGACTGCTTTGCAGGCCCCTACCTGACCTTTGCCCTATATTTTTTTAGTAAGTGAGTATAAGTAAGCCACATCCTCTTCTAACTTGCCTTGAAATATACATGGTTATTTATCATATGTACTCATGCCCTTTTTTCCAAAGGGAAATCTCCTGAAAATTTTCACTTCTTCTAAATTCTTCCTATTTGTTCAATTTATTTAATAAAGTACTAAAGCCTCTAAAGGAACAAAGAATCCTAAACACAAGTACAAAATCAATCYTATAATATTTGTTGAGAATAAAAATCAATCCATGAATCCTGACAAACATAACGCAGTTACCTGAAATGTGTATGCTCAAAATTATGATTTTTTTTTTCTTTTCTAGAATATTACTGAAAACTACTGTTCAGGGAACATTTTACGTATTTATTTTTGTTTTGTTTCACAACAATATCCTGGATTCTGAAGCTCCAACTAGTGACTGAGGCAAATGTCACCTTAAGACACTTCCTTCCACCTCCCCCAGATCCCTTTAATTACAAAATACTCATTTATGGCCAAAAAAATGGTTTCAGATTCCTGCTAACAGACCTTCTTCTTGCCTAACTTCTAATGTCTTCAAAACAGTACATAATGTAAGTTTTTTGTTTTCTTTAAACCAAATCTTTGCTAGATATTTAAGCCCTATGGAACTCGTCATATGTGTGAAGCTATACTCCTTTGATACTCAGCTTCCAGAAAAAGAAATGAAACACATAGCTACTTGATAYTGTGAATGTTTAAGAATATCTATATAAACAACTTTTTGATGTTAGAAGGAAAATCTTTCCTTTACACATGCAACTATGTAACACTCTAGTGAATTAAYTAAAAAACTTCAAAGAAACCAGAAGTGCAGCTAACACAGCCAGAGGAACCCATAACTCTTGGATACCTTTGGGAAAAAATATACACTTCACTGAATCAAAGGCAAAATCTAGACAATAACTTCAAAAACCAAGCAGCAAATCTGACAACCACCTGCAGAAAGCCTGGGAGAGTGCTCTTATATCATAAATTGGTTTAGCATGGTTTATTTAATTGCATGCAGAACATAAATACACTGAATAATTTATCYAAGTTTATACATCAGACAAACTTGGCCCAAAGGCCAAAGAATCTGAAAAATGTGTTTCTTAGAAAAAACTGGGTTTTGGGTTCCTCAGACCAAGATTTATACATGCATACAGCTGGATACTGCTACAATGTGCAGCAGTCACTTCTGTAATTAACCAATGGGGCACTAAGCTTTTGTGGAAACGAGGTTCTCCCCAGCTCAGCATTTGATGCTGAGAGCCAACTGTTTTCATAGTTGTATGAGTGTACGCTCTTAGTAGGGTCARCAAAATGATTAATAGGGGTAAATTCAGATCTCTCATCACAGCTTTTGTAAAAAATTTTCCTGAAGCTGCCTCCTGACTACAATACTGCATCTAAGTACAGCTGTCACTCTCAACCACTGCACAAAGTTGGGAGGAACTACTGATACCAACTGAGTACTCCACGTAGAAAAATGAAGGTTTCACACTTAGATTTAATGGCCCTGCCAGATCTAAAGGTAACAAAACATACTCTCACTGATGAAGAGTTGCAACTTTTATATTATGCAACATAATATAAATAGAACTGCAGTTGGTAATGAAAAGAAGTGGCTCTAGACMCTAAGTATGAGACAATGGATATGAGCCCAATAAATCCAGTGATACTGCTTTTATACTAAGTGGTAAAACTTCAGTCTCACCAGCACCCGGAACYATCTAAGAGAATACCAGATCATTTAATGGATTCTGATCAATGAAATTACTATTACAGTCAGCMCTTGTCTAGACCAGTTAGTTCTGATTTCTCATTACACTTTCCAGGAACTAATGTTTATGGGATGTCAAGGTTACCACTGGCAATTAAAGAAGCCAACAGATCAAACAGACCACATAGCTCAACCTCAGATACATCCTGGCGTCAACAGTCTCTCACATAAATCAGCATTCAGTCTTGACTCATTCAGATTTACACTTTTAAGAACCCATGTGATCAATAACAAAAATTTGAAAACATGGAAAGAACTACTACTTTGGAGGAAGTATAAGAGGGAGATAAAGATGCATCAAAGAGCGCYGGAGCAAGTACACTACACAGATTGCTAATAGAGAGGCCTACACAAACCAGAGGAAGTTTCAATTACTACACAGCTCACAGGCCACAACCCACAGAAAGTGTCACTTTGTAGTAACCCTTACTAATAAGGCAACAAGACAACAGAGATAGCAAGGGGAAACTCCTACAGCATAAAAACCTTACCAGAGAAGGAACCATACTTTCTTATCGAAGAACTGTCCTTCTTCTGCAATCGTTACACCAGCCAAACCCCTCAGCCTCAGAAACTGCTTGTTCAGTGCGAAGCCACAGCTCAGTCACTGCGCCTGCTCAATTTATTTTGGCAGACAAAGCTGCTGAATACTGTTTTTCTCAGTGCTGCCAGCACAAATACTAAAGCGTATACATGGTAGCAGACAACCTGTACACTAAGTAGACCAGCTGAATTACTCATGACAGTGTGTTCTACTATAAGGATCTAAGTTCTTTCAACTTAAGATATAATAGAAAGAACAGAATGAAGAATAGAAGAGATGCACATATTGGGATCACTGCAGATTAAGATGAAAAGAGAAGAAAGCATTTAAAATGCTAAGCTTCAAGTYGCTCTAACCAGGACATCATAAAGTACTTAATATTTGGGATGTTGACCATATTTGCAACGTCTGTTCCATGTCCAGTCAGCAATTACAGCCCAAATACCCCCAAGATTGATCACTGAGTCTTACAATCCATAATTAAAGTTTAAAAAGACATACTTTAGAATGCTAACCAGTCTTAYGATCTACTGTTGAAAACATGGGACTGGGGCTTAGAAGAGCGCACTTCTATTATTAGCTATGGGGCTGAATAGTCACTTTTTGGTCCTAAGAGTTTCCATTTGTAGAATATGGACAAATATGTACAAAGAAATAGTATCTTACTTCTTTGTGAAAAAGTACTTTGAAAACTATTGACAGAATGTATTCAATCGGGAGTATCATCACATTGTTACAGTTGCATCCCAGCAGAAATCCTAGTAAACAACTTCACAAAAAAAAAAAAAAAAAAAGGCACAAAACATCTGTCTGTCTGTTAATAAAACCCAAAGCATCTCACGAACAGAAGATTTTATCTTACTATTTTCCTCCACATTGTGGCATTAAGGGACTCCCAAAACATACCAGGAGTTGCATATACAGAAGGTACAAACAAAACCAACATTTCATTTACTTTCTGAATGAAGGTTCAAAATACTCAGAACTCATGCATTCATGTTTCGCTTTATGGATACTGTACATGCCACAGGAAGACCTATCATATACAGCAGACTTYGGTCTTCTTTTGGGTAAAAGATTGAGTGTTAGTGAACACAGACAATAGTCTCAGTTTAACCACTAAGCCTACTTCTAGATGGAACTGAACAACAACCTCATCCATCTCAGCCTTAAGATTCAAATACTAACATTTTCAACTTAACTATCATTAAAGGCAAGATAAAAAAATCTCAGTGGGGAAACCATCCCTGTACAATGTTTGACAGATAGTTTGCATAGCTCTGTGTTAAAAATTCAAGATACTTCCCTTTTTTCTGATTGTACAAAAGGGAATAGATTCAAAAGCAAACTGAGAATGTAGACATATTGCAGGTATCTCCACAAAGATGCTCAAATGCAATCGCTATTCTGTATTACCACATCTAAAATGCTAAAGGAAGTGTATATGGCTTTTTCTAGCACCTACTGCCAGCTTCAGTAGGAAAATAATTTTGCAGTGTCCCAATTTTGAAAGATCAGAATTGAACTGTTTACAAAATTCTGAGTAAGTCTGAAATTCCGTATTTGCAAAATGTTGAAGTATAAACATTTATATCTTATTTCCAAGAAGCACAACTAAGAAAGATTGTTTTACCTTAAGCTTGTATGTGTGTCTTGCTTGGCTTATATTAGATTAATACTTGGCATGAACTCTACTGTGCAGAATTGGCCACTGCCATGCCTGAAAACCAAAGAGTAAAAATATGCTCAAATTTTTTAATTTTTATTTTGTAATAGGTACATGGTAAATCTTTC